ATGCAGACTATGCCACATACGCCAGAGACAGCAAACTGTGGTAAGGGACTACAGATACACTTTCTTATTTCTCATTGCCAGTATGCCTTTATTGTATAGCCTTTTTATTGTTAACTTTTATTAATATCAATTATTATTATTATTATTATTTGTACTATTATTATTATTATTATTATTATTATTATTATTATTATTATTATTATTATTATTATTATTGTATTATTATTATTATTATCATTATTATTTTTATTATTACAGTGAGGACAATTTTATGTCATTTTCACTGGCACAGGAACGGAGCAAGTATCGTGTTACCGGATCGTAGTGAAATCAAAACCTCCACAAAGACTTAGACTAAGATTATTTTCAATGTTTGTGATTGCTTATACTTTGCTTTGGCACTTTAATATTATCGTTTCTATGTGATTTGCCGTTGAATTATTGTCAGCATTAATTTGTTTAGTATCTATAACATATAATGAAAATGTCCAATTAATGTGAAGACAAAAACAATGGCAAGATAGGAGTAATCGTAAAGTCATACGTAATGGGAAGACACGAGTAATTGGAAGATATAAGCAAACAGGAAAGGTTTGAAACCACTGCTTTTCAAAGAAAAGGATGCATATCCAGTAGAATAAAACCCTGTGTAGTTCGGCCATCACAAGTGAAGAGGATCACTTTTCATTCAAACTCAGCAATGATCGATTATTATGAGTACGACGGTGACAGTTGAGTCTAATTTGAGCGAGGTAAGTTCACCAGCAGTGTGAAAAAACAGATGAAGCAATGGTTTAAGTGGGATTTGCAAACGGTGCTGTCTTGTCTGCCTCCGACATTCTTTCAGTGCAATCCCCGCTGTCTGACAGGCTGATGCACTATGCTTGAGGTCTGTACGCAATCCAGATCGGCCGTATTCAACAACCTTCCATGTTTCTGTGAGGATGACAAATGATTAGACAACAGTTTCTAAAGTGTCTTTGTAGCGGGTCTTTTCTGTCCACCTGGAGATCTTTTCCTGTCATGGAGTCCACCAGAAAATATTTTCTTAGTAAGCCGATGGTCTGGTATGTGGGCTAGGTGACTGTTCCAGCGGATTTGATATTCATTCTTCTTTTTCTCTTTCGCGTTCACAGGCTGTAAACTCCAGCGAAATGTTTTGGTTTTTCGTCCTCTTCAGGACTGCAGTCCGGGTTCAGAACCTGAGTGTTGCGTGTTTATCCGTTTGACATATGATTAATTTATGTGCATACTGTTGGTTCCTTGCCTCTCAGGCTGATGCACTTCGACTTCGAAAGAAGCTTCCAGTTAGTCGACTCATCCGACATGCTTTTGGGTAGGCAGTGGGTCAATTCTTGTTTTCCCTAAATAGAGCCCCGGAACCTCACACGGGGATGATATTCATTCAGTAGTGCGTGGATGCTTGGCAGACTGGCCTTACTGAGAGCTACAGAGTTCGGAATCATGTGCCATTTGATATGAAAGAGTTTCCCCTAGACAGGCTTTATGACACTGATTCAGATTTGTTGTTGTCGTATGCTGTTGATCCTCGATACCTTGTTCAGCCTTCTAGAAGTTATAATAAGTGACAGGAGCGTTGCCACGAAGGCAACTTCGGGTGGGTTAAGTTATGGATTAAGTGTTTGTTCAGTCAAGGAATGACACCATAGTGATAAACTCTGCATCTTCTGCGGAATTTGATTTTGCGATATTTGTAGCTATCAGTTGGTTCCTATCTTTTAGGTAAAGCCACATCCTTGATCGAGAGTATCCGTGCTGTAGTGGCTAGACACTAGCCTGCGGATCGGAAGGTCGTGGGTTCGGGTCCTGGCGGAGCCAGACTATTGTCAAAAATGACCTTGGCTCCCAGATCACCCCAGCCTGGAGTGGGTACCAGGTGCGGTCCTGGGAAATGACGGCTGTCGGTGTGATGCTGACCCCATCACACACCGAATGCCGATTAGTCTATAGAATATAGACTTTGCCCTATATACCCAAAATGCCTAACGGCGTGGGAAAGAGTCTTTGCAGCCTCGATCGGGATTGGCGTACAGCACTAGCTAGACGTTTGCCTAGGAGTCCAAGGGTTTCGGGTTTGCATCTGCATCGAAGCGGATTTTCATAATTTATAATGAATCCCAAGTGAATGTGACCTAAAGGGACACCCACAAAATTCCTTATGAAGTTAAGTCGGCCGACGTAATGTTGGCTCCATAACCTCTAGGGAGGATGTCGACTGAACTATAAAATTAGGGTTTGTACCATATGCCACATAAGTTAATGGCGGGAAAAGGGGTGTTGTAACTTTTCTTTCCCCACATTACCTCAATGGTGTAATATTTATTGTTTATCTTCTATAGATTTCGATAACCTGAACTCAAGAATTAGTTTCAAGACATCGGACTGTGAATACATTTGGTCTTCATATACGAAAAACCCTGACCAAAAGTCGTTGATACCAGTGAAGGAGTTTCAAATCACACATCTTCCTTTAGTGTGTCGAGATGAAGCTGTGGTCTACTGCATCAGAGCCATGGCTGAACTCACCGTCGCACTCAGGGCTAAAAATGTCAGCGTAAATAGATCAGAGGAAGATCGTCTCTATCATTTCAGAGGAAAACAATTTGTGCGTACAGGAAGCGGCAGTGTTATAAATGTTTTATTTAGAACGGAGACTTCTGAATGTGTATGTGGAGAATGTAGAGCCGACAACAGACGTAAAAACCTCCCGGCAGTAATTGTAGTGCAAACAGCTCGTCATGTAGTGTTTGACGAGTATGAGTCAAGGGACACTACCGTTGATCTATGTTTCGATGACGAGAACGGCGAAAATGTGAGGAGTCTGGTTGGCTCAAAGGTGTTAGTCAGTTCACAAGACTGCGATGAGTGTATTTTCGAGTGTCCCACACACGACAGTGATCTGGCAAAGAAGTTAAGCAAGAGACTTGCAGATTTTCAAAAGCTCTATCTTGCTGCCAACAGGACACTGCTGGCTCGTGGGTCCCGGTTGTCTGTGGCAATATCCCACTTTCATGGCAGCCGTAAGCATATAGCTGTTGGTCAATGGAAGACAGCAGCGGGAAACAGTGCTGACGCTAGCAGAATTGGAGCAATATCGACCAGACAAGGTTCTTCCCCAAATGTCCACATAGTTATTGGTGACAACGTCATCTTCAGCTTCTGTCCAAGTCTTCAGCCCGTCCTTTCCATCGGACAGGGGCCATCAGGTATTTTCATTGTTGATGTTTAGTATCATCCTCTTCTCCTTTTCCTTCTTCTTCTTTCTGGTCCTTCTTTTATTTTTTTTCGTCATAATCATCATCATCATAATCATCACTACCATCAAGATGATCTTTTTTTTCTTCATCTTCTTCTTAGTAATCTTCTTCTTCTACTTCTTTTTCTTTTTCTTCTTTCTTTCTTTCTTTCTTTCTTTCTTTCTTTCTTTCTTTCTTTCTTTCTTTCTTTCTTTCTTTCTTTCTTTCTTTCTTTCTTTCTTTCTTTCTTTCTTTCTTTCTTTCTTTCTTTCTTTCTTTCTTTCTTTCTTTCTTTCTTTCTTTCTTTCTTTCTTTCTTTCTTTCTTTCTTTCTTTCTTTCTTTCTTTCTTTCTTTCTTTCTTTCTTTCGTTCTTTCTTTCGTTCTTTCTTTCTTTCTTTTTTCCTTCTTTCTAATCATAGTTTGCCATCCATGTCATATTTTACCATCCCGAGTCATAGTTTACCATCTCAAGTCATAGTTTACCGTCCCAAGTCATAGTTTACCATCCCGAGTCATAGTTTACCATCTCAAGTCATAGTTTACGGTCCCAAGTCATAGTTTACCATCCCAAATCATAGTTTACCATCCCAAGTCATAGTTTGCCATGTTAGTTCATAGTTTACCATTCCAAGTCATAGTTTGCCATCCCAGGTCATAGTTTACTATGTTAATTCATATTTTACCATTCCAAGTCATAGTTGACCATGTTAATTCATAGTTTACCCTCCCAAGCCATAGTTTACTATGTTAATTCATATTTTACCATTCCAAGTCATAGTTTGCCTTCCCAATTCATAGTTTACTATGTTAATTCATATTTTACCATTCCAAGTCATAGTTTACCATGTTAATTCATAGTTTACCCTCCCAAGTCATAGTTTACTATGTTAATTCATATTTTACCATTCCAAGTCATAGTTTACCATCCCGCAAGTAATAAAATCACGAATCAGGTTAGTGCTCCTGTCTCGACCCATCCATTTTATAGTTAAACTAACTTTGTCGGAAGCATCGACTTTACTGCAAAGGGTTATTCAATATAGCCAAGCCTCTCTCCATAGAACGGTTAGCCAGCTGTTGATTTCGTCGCACAAAGGACACAATCTATAGTTCCATCTCGAGAGATCTCCGTAAAAACTGCACTCGCCAGTTGAACGACATGTTCGTTAAACGAAACTATTCAGAACACAGGGTAAACGGCCTGACCGCTTCACCACCGATACGCCCAAGCCAAACAAGCCATCCAGCTATTTATCTGTTTTCCGCTTTCTTTACTTTTTTAAACTCATCAATCTTGCCAGTTGTCTCCTAATCTATTTGTCTCCTAACGTGTCCAGATTATTGTATGATAAACTCATTAAGTAACGTACCGACTACAACTGGTAGCAACAGTAATAAGACAAAAAAGACTTCGCAATACTGAACACATCTTGAGAAGAAACCAGCAGAGAATTAAAAAAAAAAAAAAAAACACACACACTCACACACATTTGATTTTTCCCAGTACTGTTCCTACATTGTTCTTCGTTCTTCATTGATGACTCTGTATCTTCTTCTTCTTTTTTTTTCGCCGCTTTTCTTATACCTCTCTGAAACATTTCTTGGTACCTATCACGAATTTGCCCCCATGACGGGTGATCCCTCCCCTCCCTTTATTTTGCATCGACCAGTCTCAAGACCTGTCCTTTGTTGTTCGGATGTCATGTATATCTTTTTTTCAACAATTTACCCGTTGCCACCGCTCACTTGCGTGATTATTTCCACGTTGTAGTGCTTTCTCGACTGTTCATGGGTATCGATACTAAAATATTTTAGTATTTCTACGTTCCTTTTCAGTGGCTTTTTTTTTATTAGGAAAAGGGGGAGGGGTGCACCGCCCAGGAACGTAGAAATACAAAAACCCCGTTTCGATACTCACTAGCAGTCGCGCCTTCGGCGCTTTTCCCTGCAGTACGTATTACTTGTTTACAGGCACCTGCGGAGTTTTAAAGAGACTCACGGCAACACAGCCTCCCACAATCATTAAATACGGGAAGCGAACGATGAACGAAGGAATCTCATAACACCCCCACAACATAGGACAGACCGTGTAACCAGCCGCGGCATGAATAAGAGGGAAAGGAACATAGATCTATATTTTGATATCCATGTAACATGTTGTATGCAAAAAATTTAAGTAGATCGGTAGGCTGATGACGTTTCTAACATGTTGTAACAGAATCTGAGGCTGCAGGCATTGAGGTCATCGTGGAGTTACCTGATGGAACACAAACAGAACGGGTCATTTGGCCAATGGACTGTCTAGTTGATGCGGTAAGCATTTTGGTGATATTTTTTATCCAATTCATTTTGTTTCATCGCAGTCCACTGTATTATCTGGGTCAGCAGCGTCAATTATGATGATATTATTATCATTATTATACATTGTTGGTATATTTAAGTCTTCCCAGACGATTGTAATAGGGAGATTAAGGAATCACAGTCCTTAGCGATGGCTAATATGTGAACTTCATGCAACGTGATCCATGGCTTTTTTCCCCAGGAATCCAAATCAATCCCTTTATCATCCATGTCCGTTTTCACACACCAGTTATTATTATTATTATTATTATTATTATTATTATTATTATTATTATTATTATTATTATTATTATTATTATCAGTTTCTTGATTCCTTGTCTGTATTTCATCGTCACGTTTCGAAGAGGCATCTGGTGCGAACCTTGTTGTGAGCAGCATAGATGTTTATATTCACCTCCTCAGATAATCTATCCATCACTTGCATGGGCGACCTCTAGTCTTATTTCGTTGTATCTAAGTGACAGGGCTCTCTCTCTCATGTATTATCTACCCGCCTTGTTTTCTGTTATTACTACTACTGTCTCACGAGATTGCTCAACTTTCCCGGGACACCGGTAAAACGATAACATTCGGAGGGGCACTCAGCCTTCTGGCAATCAGTTGGTGCCCCATAGACCTCGCATCTTGTTTAACATGTACTTATAATGTTATAACTGTTACACACACACACACACACACACACATATATATATATATATATATATATATATATATATATATATATATATATATATATATAAAGTAAAGATCCCTTTACACGCCCTAGGCGCATCGGGCATATGGGAAGAGCACCCATATTTTTACAGACCAGTCGGCACTCGGTGGGTAATGTGGTCAGCATTACGCCGGCCGTCTTTACTTTCCCAGGATATATATATATATATATATATATATATATATATATATATATATATATATATATATATATAACGTAGCTGAAATAATATGAAATGTAGAAAATAAAAGAAAATAAAAAGAAGATAACTTTTACAAATGGTTAAAGAAGGACTTTTAGACACCATCTAATTCTGTTGTTGCTTTTGTTGTTGTTATTATTGTTGTTGTAAATCCGTAAATCCCCCAAGTTCGGGGGCGCCTCTGCATCTCCTATAGTTTCCATGTACGAGTCACCACGGAAGTCATAGACTAATTAGCATGTCCTTTAGTTTATATAACACTGGACTGTCCCAGAGTATAGCCTCTGTCTGTGCTTTGGAGGGATTAAACACACATATGACACCATATTGATAAACTCTGCATATATATATATATATATATATATATATATATATATATATATATATATATATATATATACACACATATGACACCATATTGATAAACTCTGCATATATATATATATATATATATATATATATATATATATATATATATATATGCAGAGTTTATCAATATGGTGTCATATGTGTGTTTAATCCCTCCAAAGCACAGACAAAACATAACATATAAACACTTCCGTTACTGCTTATATATACCACTTTTAGATGTGATATAAGAAAGACCTTGCTCGTAACGAGGATTTACGACCCCATAGCTAATGCAGTCGACACAAAGTTTTTTTTTTTTTTCCAAATAAAATTATAAGCATAGATCTTTCCCATGAGAGCAAACCAAATCGGAGAAAAGCCCATATTCAATGACGAAATTCTCCTTTCTATCATCCACAGACAAAGAAATCGCTGTTAAGTGATTGTGGAGTTACAGATCCCCCTGGAATGTATGACCTGGTAATGGAGCTGCCCGATGGAAGCATGCAGATCATGAAGGACGAGAAAGAAATTGATTACTATTTGGACGATATCTGTATGTCTCTTCGGTTATTCTTCCAACAGAAAGCCAGCCAGCATCAATAAAGTAACGCTAAGACCATCGTGTGTTGATATTTTGTGTAGGTTTGTCTGCAGTACATGGTACCCTCGATAAAGAGATAGAACCCACAGTAAGAAGGCAAATGCCGTCACCTCCGAGTTAGCCGCACTGCTCAAACACATAAACGTCTCCCTTCCAGCAAAACAGCAAATTATCAATAGCATCTTTGTCTCTACTTTGTGTTATCATTGCAAAACATGGACAATGAATAGGGCAGTAAAATAGAAAACAATGACATGTGAAATGTTCTGTCGCTGCAAGGTCACTCACACCACAAAAAGAAAAACCAGAATAAGAGATTAGGTCAGAATAAGACCATGTCTGGATTATACTGAGAGACAAAGAATGAAATGGTTCAGCCATCTAGTGAGAATGCAGCCAGTCAAAACTGCGTATGAGACGTTTTACAGTAGAACATCACGGAGAAGGCGAGAGGAAGACCAAGAAAGATATGGATAAATGGTGCAGCAGAAACCTGCAAAAAGACGAACAAATCCATCACCCAAGCCACCCTAGAAGCGCAAGACAAACAGAGAAAACCACAACACTGGGCTAAAACCTGGAATCAGTGAGATAATAAATGAAGAAGAAATCTGCAGTATCAGTGGTTGAGGTGTGTTGAGTTGGGTTAAGAACCTACAGGACATTCTCATAAGCGCCCCGTCACTAACTTCAGCAGCCCGTGTAGAGTGTTATTCCTAATGGTACCAGTAACTGTCTGATTATATGTTCTTCTTGCATTTTATCTGAGTATAAAGTGTTCGCCAAATCTCCGAGTCACTTCCTACTGCAACATTCTCCAGATTTCAATGATCTATTTGAACTAACTGCCTATACCACAATTTCTTGGGGCCTCAAAGATGTGGTTTTACAAAAGTATACTGTGAATAGCTGGGACAGTCTAAACGAGCAAACCAGATGTTTTAAAAGAGACGAGAGCTCAAACACTAGAAGGAAACATTGGTAAATTTTTGTTCATGTTATGAGAAGAAGAAAACTGGCTCACGTGACCACTGAAATGATATGTGAAAAGAAAGGAAAAGAGGAAGACAATATGATACAAATCTTGTCAGCCTTTTGTCATGGCATGGAGTGGTGCAAACACACCACAACTGATACATGTTGTTGAAGATCGCAGATAATGGAGAGGCATCATTAGCCAAGCCAGTCGCCAAGGTACCTGGTAATAATTTGTCTTTTGACCCTCATGACGTCAGTATTAAGTAGTGACTGTAAAAGATTATACATTAACTATCGCTACGTAGACTCCATTATCTGCTGTTTCGATCGTTGATGGATCCAAAGAATTGTAAGACTGTTCATAAAAGTTTGTAATAACACTTAGATACTCTATTATCAGACAATCATTTCTTTAAAAAATGTATACATATAAAACCACAGCAATGAAATATGAACTGAATTCATATCTAACACCGCAAATTATTACCAACTTGTATTTTTTTTTTCTTTTCAGTATTCGAGAAGTTCAAGCAAAGTCTCTTGACCTATTTAGCATTATGTTTATCGTTTTTATAAATGCGAAAAAATCTCGCACTAGGGTAACACATATCTGATTTGATCGAGCTCAGACAGATAACGCGATTACGGGTGTATGTAGACATAATTTTTGGCAGTTATGTTCACACACAGATTCTCTAACAGGATGCAGATGACGGGAAATTTATTTCGCTTTTCTTCTGGGATAAATTAAAAACTCACTGTGGCAAATCATTCTTGTTATCGCTGTGATGTTTTTCGTTGAATTAAATAGCAATTTGTGAATATAACCTGGTGCAAAATTCTATTGGGTGACTTATAATACAGGTTCTCGAATGATGAGTTCAGTGAGTTTGTGTTATCAGGACTAGAACAGTGAAATCTGTTTGCAATAGTTGATCTATGCTCGGCTAATAAACATCTCCCCCCCCCCCCCCCTCAAAAAAAAAGGATAAACGTTAAATTCAGTTTATATTTCATAGTTTTAGTTTCATGTGGATAAATATTTTAAAAAAAAAGGTAGTGATTGCTCCTTGGCAGATAACGGCCGTAGGATGGAAACTCAGGATTTCACATACACTGAGTCACGACCAGGATAGAACGGAGTTAGGGAACAAACTGCGAGCCCTGTGTAATGTATAACGACATAATTGGATGATGATGTTGACGGTGGTGATGATGATGATGCCAACGACGATGACTATAAAGATGGTGGTGATGAAGAAGATGATGATGATGATAATGATTATGATGATTATAATAACGACGACGATGATGATGACACTGACGAGGAGGGTGATGATGATGATGATGATGACGATGATGATTATAATGACGACGATGATGATGATAATGACGACGGTTATGATGACGATGATTAAGATAATGTTCACAATGATGATAATGATGATGCCATGACATGTGAGGCACAGTGACCAAACATTTCTGGAAACTGTAATTATCCATTCTTCTTAGACTAGGACGAAAACTGTAAAACAAACCTGGCAACTGAAATTAACTTTTTTTTTTTTTTTGGCAGAGTTGAAGTAAAGTCGTATCAACGGTTCGCACCTGGCCAACTTGGAAGCATCACATTCTAAACTGGGAAAATATTTTCCTTCTTCAGCTTCCCGAGCCCTTGAGGTTCATTACTGTAGATATCACACCATTACATTCATTTTTGTGACTGGTCTTCTCTTTCGAGTTGGCGACAGCGAGTATTTACAGATCTGCCTATATATTAACTCTACGACATTTCCGTGGTCTGTTTCGTGATCTACTCCAGTTCATCTCTGTTTGTATGGGTAGTTTTTGTTTGTTCATCTGTCACTATCACTATATATTCTAGCCACTGAAGTCTATTTGCCTTTATAATAAAATTCTTCTTCTTCTTCTTCACGTTCACTGGCTGTAAACTCTGTTCTGGTTGTTCGTCCACTTCTGGACTGCAGTCCTGTTCCAGAATTTGAGTATTGCGCGTGCATCTGTTTGACAGATCTAACTAATTTGTATTCAGACAGTCGGTTCCTTGCCTCTCAGATCAGATGTACTCTGACTTTGAAGGAAGCTCCCAATTAGTCGACTCTTACGACACGCTCTTGGGTAGGCAGTGGGTCTATTCTTGTTTTCCCTACAATAGGGCCCCGAAACCCACACGGGGAAATATTAAATTAATCAGTTGTAATTTAAATAGATTTATTTTGTGCATCTTACTCTCCGTTCCCCGCAGTTTGCCTCTTTGCTGGCTGCAAAGATCTGTCGTAAGACTGTTCTCAAAGATCCACAGTAAGACCTCTCCAGTTTAACTGTACTCTGTTCATCACAGCTATGTCGGACAGTTGGTCGTTTCAGTGCTGATGGTATTGTGCAGGATTTGATTTAGGCAGTTTTGTAGAAGTAAAGTTATTAATTCAAATCGATTTTTTTAACGTCTAGTGTGTCCTCCAGTCCCATCTTCTTTTCTTTATGTCTGTAGACATTGGTCACTACCCACGAATTCATTTCTCATGCTACTGGAATCACACCTGGCGCGATGCTAATTGGTCTATTCAAATATAGGTCTAACCCTATATGCCTAATACGCCTGAAGGCGTGTAAAATGGTTCTTTAATTAGAAACCAAAACTTTACGGTAGTGACTTCAATAGCCATACCTCTTCCTCGGCCCAACAATGTGTTTTAATTGTTTAAATCTGCTAAAATTCAAAAAAAAAAAAAAAAATATATAAATATATATATTGTGCATGTGTTTAGCATCTTTATTTTAACGATTGTTAAAACAGAATTTTTAACAAAAGTGAGTGACTGCTTACAATGAATGCATGTGCTGGATTTGAATTACATTTAATAACATCACACACAAAATAATTTGCGGTGTTTAGGTAAAAAGGAGAGATTAAATGAGTCCCTGCGCAGAGCAGAAATATCGGCCAGCAATTTCTGTTTAATTGCAAATTGTATTTCAACCAGTGTATAATAAATAACAAACAACGTTACATTGTAACTTTATTACTACGTTTCCTGACTGTGTTACCATGACATTAGGCTGTTAGTGCCATTACACCTGCACCAGACCAAGTCGATGAGATACCTCCGATAAAATCATTAACCACACCCACGCCAACTAAACAAGAGCTATTGTGAAACAACTTCAACATTGGTTCAGTTTCCCTGGAAGAAATATTCTTCTTATCGCGTGATACTCTGAGTTAACCGGTTAACTGCCGGTGCAAGATCTTATTTTTGATATCAAAAAAGCAAAACTATCAAGACATCATGACTGCCCCATTTTTGATTCAGTTTCTGCCTCGCTGTGTCAGCTACAGACATCGTGATCTGATGTAAGTATAATCATTCATTTTGTTTTCTCTACATGTTAACCCAATTTATGCATTTTTGTCCAAGTACATTGCCTTTTGACCTCAGGTTGAATCAAAATAAAAAACAATACAAGGAAAAAGAAAGAATAGGGATGAAGCCACTCATTTAAACATCAAACAATGAAATCAGTTTCCTCTTCTACGTTTGTTTACTGGCTGTAAGCTCCGGCGAGAAGAATTGATTGTTCGTCAGTCTGAACTTTGGTGTTGTGCCAGAGCCTGAATTTTGCGTGTACATCCGTTTTACTGGCTTAGGCTTATTTGTGTGCAGTTAATTGTATATTGTCGCTCAGACAGATACAGTCCGACTTCAAAGGAAGCCCCAGCTAGTCGATTTCTATGACATGTTTGTTGTAGAGGCAGCGGGTCTATTCCTCTTTTGCTCACACTGGGGCCCTGGAACCCACACGGGGATTAGTCAGCGTCTATAGCTTAGGCGTCAGAAGCGCATCGCCTTTCCAATGTGCCGGGCTGCCCCAGCTTCCAGCAGTTTGACAGCAGACAGCATTGTATTGGTTTCGAAGTGATATCCAGAGCCGAACGGAAACATATAAGTACTTGGGTGCAAACTTCAACTGATCCAATATGCTTAAATAAGAAAGATAATCT